AAATAAATATAAATAATATTTAAAATATAATAAAAAATGTGTTTATAAAGCGCCCATTTTTGCGATAACATTTTCCTAACGCCTTTTAGAAAAATTCAGGTGACGTTTTCACAAATTTGATCGACATTTGGGGTTAAGCGAACGTCTGCAAAGGCAATTTCCAGTGAAAATCTAAGAGCAGTAAATGCTATTGTCAATAGAAATGGAAAAATTTGCGGCAGCAATTAAACAAAATCGACAAGCAGACTCATATAAATTCAGGCAGTATGTATACCGCATTATATAAACTCATAACTCAACTAAGGTGACCTTGGCCTAATGGCAGTCTTAGTCACTGAACAGTCTGAGGTCCCGTTTATCGAACTGCTGAAGTAATCTATAAAAGAGCACTTGAGAATTAGTAACTGTCAGTAAAGCAAAAATCCACCCGTCCGGGCTGAGCATCACACTCATTGGCTCGCGCTAGATAGACTTTGTTTGTATTCGATCAGCAACCTTTGTTTCGCACGACAGTTAGGCTTAAGATGCTGATAACCTTAAGGTTTCTCTTATAGTTGAAACAAGCAGCACAATTCACTGCGTGGTAAGCCAATTTCTTTTTACAGTTACGTATGATGAAGGGATCACAACCTGCGTTGATTAACTAAATGATAATGATATTAAGTTTAGCCCCAAACGCCGAGTTCAAATATGGAATATGTATGAAGGAAATACGTTGGCCTTTAACTATCTTTTATTTCTACAAAAATACCAAATACATTTTCTTAGATATTTATAGCTCCCCAAGCGCCTGTACGTAATGCTTTGAACTGTAACATCAGGGTTTTTTTTTATTTAGAATATGTTTTTGTTTAAGAATTTACATGCCTGTGTACTGCCCTTATGCTGGTCATATCCTCGACCCCATGTTCATTGAACGCGTATGGTTACGTATCAGGCTACGCACGTGAAAACACCAGCTTAAAGGAACTTCGTGTGTACAGGCATCTTGTACGCTCGTGGAATTTTCTCCACAGCTGTCCTGATTAGTGGCGATCCTTGTCTGTAGATCGTATGGCACTTCGGGTCGTTTGACAATCAACGTATGAACTAGTGCCGTTTTATATTATACGTAATTCCAAGCTTCCACCTCGAATCTGAAGGCTGTCTAATCTAATTTGTATCGTATTGTCCTGATCTATATAAATTTCTTATTACCAAAATCCCGGTATATACGATATCGATGATATTAATTTTCATCTAGATACAATATTCTGACCCCGCATGCCCCTGGAATGTTGGCACGGTACCTTTTTGCGTGATCATTTAAATAGGCGTATTGATTTTGTACATCTACCTGTATTCCGATGTTGGTTTTCGGAAATGACTTATGCAGTCGCCCTATGAAAGAAATAATAAGAATAAATAAACAACGAGAGGACATGTTTCACAAGTTATTTCCTGTATATAGAGCATGATTGCCCGCATACGTGAACACAAAACGATCACGTTCAGCACTTGTTGGATCGTATGTGTTAGTACAAAGTTTATCACGGGTTTATCAATGAGATCTACTCATTTTAAAAATAGAATTGTCGCATCAACCAAAATATTTTTATGATTTAAAAACATTTTTTTGCCCCACAAGGGCGGCCAACAACAATGTATACCGTTTATTGGATCTTGGGAAATTGTGCATAAAGAAGATCCAACCTTAAGTTGATTCTTACAGTCTTATTGATCATATTATGATCGAATATGAGTTATATTTTTGCCGATATAATGGTAATTGATGTAGGGGACGTAAGATAGAGAATATAATGGACAAAGTAAATAGCAATAAACATTTTTTATCCTTTTCAACAGTTGCTAGATATTATAATAGCTGTCACTAGAATGGTACTCTCACCTATATTTTGCTTTAACGACAATAGTCTTCGATCTTTTCAGTCTCCTTCATTTTTCATTGTAAACGTATGACGAATACCTCAAAAATTTTATCAAATCTGAGGGCAATGATAATGTTCCTTAGGCGAAAATATTTTGACACTGAACACCTAGGACGTGCGTAACACTTCTATGAAAAAATCCGATGGATCTATCGTGACCAACACAATTTTTTTGGTGGACTTTTATTCTGATAATAAAGAGCTCTTCGAGAGTAACTATATTCGTTTCAAAACAATCAAGGTTTCTAACAAACAAAGCATAGCTTATTAACCATGATCAAGACTCTAGATACGGTGTTTCTGCTTTTTGGCATAATGTATACGTTGACTTCGCTTTTTCTCGGTCTGAGGGAATGAAAATCGTCATCTGACGTCCTTCTTGCCTAAAATTTCATAGTTCTGGCGTGTTTGTAAACTGTAAAAATGACGAATACAAACGACTAGTGCCTTGAAGCAATAACACACTTCTTCAATCGGCGTCTCACAGGTAGCTCTAAATGTCTTTCTACTTTTTGAGCCGACGAAGATCGTGTGATATGACCCATCATTTACTCTACGAAACACCAGCGCATCTAAAATATTACGGCATGTATAATTCACCCCATAAGCGCATAATGTCAGAATTGCCTCATCTGTTTTAATATAATTGCTTCACTTGTACCTTCCATCTATTGAGGGCTTACTTATAATGCTTCTGAGTTGATAAGTAAATTTTTAATAGGCCTTTTTTTCGTTAAATTTAAACGAATATAAAATTGACTCAGGAGAAATCGAATGGAAACAAATTAATTTAGTTTACAAAATTTCTTTAGTTTCTCATGCGAGTGTTAACATGTTAGTGTCTTGACAAGCGACGCTAAAAGTCAAAGATACGGTGAATGTATACCATGGGGATTGTCCAGTCTGATATGAAAGATTTTTTTTTGTTTTTTATTGAAGCAATCAGGGTAGCCACTGATAAATATACAATCCTGAGAATACATAGCGCAGAGCAGGGTCGAATTAAGCTAAAAGGTTTACGAGCGTTAACAACAATTCATCAATACTAAGCACATACATTTTATTATGAACAACAGCATTCTTTTTCTCTAGCTGCAGTTTTAACTTACTTTATTTCCACATGACTTCAGCGTAGTGATTAGGTCGTTTGAAGCATGGCCAGTGAAAACAGACTGTACTGCTTCATAGTGCAGGGAGCTAAGGCAATTGTGCTGTGGCAGAGCAGGACGAGTAGCAATTGCCTACTTGGAACAATCCAAACAGCAAATGTGTGTAGATCTGTGCCCATTACGCTTGACCCGTATTCCCCAGCTTTCTCTATTCCCATAGATAATGCAATGTTCCTTCTTTTTGTGCATCTTGCTCCCGCAAGCTTTCGTTCGGCCTGTAACGACCAGAGGATGCTCATGACCGAGGAGCCAGAGTTCGCAACGAACGCGGTGCGCCAAATAAGTCCTCTTTTCACACAAGCACTTGCTCCCTCCGCCCATTTTGATACGACCTCCAACACCCCACCACTACACAGTGGCATCTTAAGGAGTGTCGTACTCATAGCCATTGCCGTTCCTGACGAGATAGGGCTCCGACGGCCGTTTCTTCTGCTGGATCTCTTTCTTTTGCCTCTTTTTCTTTCTTTTCCTGTTCGACTCCCCATTCAAATTTTGCTAGCGTCTTTCATGAGCCTAGTACTTAGTTTGCCTCTCAATCTCGACCCCTATCTCGTTTTCTTGTAACACGAAATGCCCCACTTTCGCCTGTCACAGAAAGTTTGCTTCACCCAGAGCCAGCAGCAGTAACAGCACATTCTTGCCAACTTGAATTCTGTGCTGGCCTTACGTCCTTTAGTTAGTCTGTCTCCGAGATTCTCCATGCCTTTTCTCCAACTTTCTTTCTATTCCCCCCTTTTTCGAAAAGGAGAAGAAAACCGGGGGATGTCGGCCAGCACAACGACTAGTTGGAAAAGATGCAAATTCCCATTTAGAATTTACATGAATTTGCTTCTTTGCGTGGTGACTCGTCGTCACCCTCATTTTCCCAACTTTGCCCACTCTGTTACCCCAGGAGTGGCACAGTACTCAGCAGTCGTGTAGCTGCGGGGTAGATGGTGTCACCGTGCTAGAAGTAGCGTCATGTGCGATTCGTAGTGTACACTGGCAGCAATGTCCCTTACCCTCTTTCTTTTGCACGGTCGTCGTTAGCTGGACATGAGGAGAGCATCTGACGCTGCTGCTGTTAGTTTCTACTGCTCATGTATCCTTAATCTTAACTCCCTTTTCCGCTTAACCCGTAGCGACATCTCCCTTATTTCCGCCAGCTCACTCCCTTTTTGTGCAACCTACTGCCCCTCAAGGACTTCTTTGGCCCTCTTTTTACCTTGAGGTCTATGAAGGAAGAAACCTACCACTACTGCCAATTCTCTTTTCGCCCCGTCCTTTTTCCCTCTGGTGCTGCTTCCTTCGCATTGGTTTCCTTCATTCGTTCGTCCCCTCCCACCCAGCGCCCCTCTGGCGTTCCTACAGTACTCTGCTTCTGTTTTTCTTCCACTCTTACCCGTTAACCCGCGTCCGTCTCTTTCTTCTGTCAGTGTGAAAACTAAAAAGCAGGCCCGCAGAGGAAGAAGTCGCCTTTCTTCCTTCGAAGCTAGGGTGGAGGCAAAAACCTTTCTGTCCCCTTTTGCGATCCCCTTTTATCCTACCGATCTTGCTTCCCCCTTTTTGCCTCTCTTAGCCCCTTTTCGCTAAGGACGGGACTCTTTCACAGGAACACACAGTCGCAGATGTAGACAACGCACAACGGCACACACATAGACACATCACCAATCTTCTCTGCTTTGGCAGCACGCGCCTCCCAGTCCGTTTCCGTCGTGCTTTGCCTTTGCTGCTCTGCAGCAGTTTTCGAGCAGGTTGCCGCTGGCGGCCACCGAGGCCGCCACCATCGCGTCTGCTTGGCTAACGTTTGAGGGTGCCGGGCAAGAAAAAGCTATCCAGCGAGGCAACTGTGCTAAGCAGCTCTCTATCGGCTCGGGCCCGGGAAACCAACCGAGTTGTTCTCAGAGTATTCTCGTCGCGTGAAGGGTGAGCATCTCCGCGCAACCGTATTTCCTGATTGTCCGCCGGTGTGGTACCTGCCGTGCAGATCGCGCGCCGCGTGTGCTTACCCATGACGCCAGTCGGTAGGTCAGTACGCGACGATAACGAAGTGCTGTGGCTTTTTTGGTATTTGTGGCATTCTGGAATCAGAAGAGCTTACGGAAAAGCCTACTAATTAACTAGCCGAGTTCCATTCCCCGGTTCTCGTCGCTCGATTGGTATTCGGTAACATTAAAATCAGGAATATCATCGAGATCGTTTAGTGGTGGAGCTGGCAGTGAAAGTGTTGATTATGGTTGTTGTCATTAGGAATTGCGCCACGCTAGGAGTACTGCGCATTTTTTGCTAATTACCCAGCCTATGGTAACAATACACGATCCCAGTTAGAGCCAAAGGCTTGCCATTACCAATTACTTAACCAGGAGAGCAAGCGACCAATAATTGTCTCTGTTTACAAACTAAGAACGTCAATCTGTTCAATCATCTTGTCATACCAGCTCGGAGAAATCACGCCATCAAAAATCCTGAGCGAGCAGGTAGGTGGGAAGCATGTCCGTTAAGCGTGCCAAACAACTCGCGATTGCTTGAGATAATTACCACTATGGTTACGTTAATAACCATGCCAATAATCGCTTTTAATGTTATTGGATACTGTAATTGTCGTCTTGGGCGGCTGGTAGTCAGCAGTTCTGTTACGGTAATGTGAACTGTATTGTGGGGTCGTCACAAATAATGTGTGCTTAGCGGGCATCCGAGCGGCAGTGTGCATTGTGCATCGCCGAGTCTCTCCTCTCTTCGAGTGATTTTCTCCTTATTAGATGTGTTGGTTTGTGTCTGAGCTGTTTGTGCTGCATGTTTATGCTGTTGTTGCAACGAAGGCAAGGAAGTGTTAAGGAAAACGTGTTGATGTCTACCCACCTGAGCCATAGAAGTGTGATTGTGTGAAAGCGACAGGAGCAGTGACTCCTTTAACGCCCAGTGGATTATAACCTAGGTCTGCGTCGATACTGATCATAGTGCCAGGGGCTACAATAACTATTACATTGTGGGGGTGTGCGTGGGATCTACCCCACGAATTCAGCGGAGGATTTCTACTTGAATTGACATTGTATACACGCTGTTGCTGTCGCTGCTGTGAAGCACTACAGTTGTTGCTACAGTTGGTGGCCGATTACAGCTGCTATCAAAGTACCACGGAGGCTGCAGGTGCTGAGACCAACGCCGTTGGTTTCTGTCGGCAGCTGGCGGACTGTGGCTATATTGTGAATGTAGCTGTTTCCAGAGTGCGGGGTTTGCGGTGACGTTTTGTAAACGTCACAAAGCAGCAAGACGGAACGCTCGAAACCACACGAAGCCAACGACGTCGTGGCCACTGGATTTGCCGTGGCTGCAACGCCACTGGTGTCCATCGATGTGTGTGAGCGCTTGAAGCTGGACTGACAACGATCCACCTCCGTTGACACCATGAAGACCTCGTTGCTACTGATGCTGCTTTCTCTCGCGATCATCACTGCACATCCACATTATCAAGGTACATACACGATATGAACGATGCTCGATACTAGTGCCACTGGAAGAAAGGCTCAACATAGTATAACCCATTCTAGTTCATTCGGATTGGATTATTTGCATATTACGGGTAATAGAACCTGTACAAACATGTGAAACGTTATTTTATGCGAGCGCATTGAAAAAAACTTAGTCAGCAGCAGCAGCAGCTGCTACGGATATACATAGATGTACAGTGACAACTAAATAGTACTGGTATTAGGTAGAGTGAGTCCTACGGCCTGAGTTTCGTTTGTGCATATGCACCGAAATTGGACCAACGTACTAAAGCGTTCGACAGGCACACTTGCCCGCAACTCGTATATAGTTACTCGTGTCTCCGTCCACGTGCCACACAACGCCAATGTATATATTATATACGACCGGTGAACTCTTAATGCAACCCTGAATGTGAGCTGATGTAAAGCGTTGGATTTTTTGACAGACCCTTAGGTCTTTGTTGCGTCCCGTTGTTACGTTTCAGAAACGTCGAACGTAGGTCGTGTTGGGCTGGGTCAGTGAGACAGTTTTGTCCTCAAAATACAGACATTTTTATAGTGTCAGTATCGCGAGAATACCATGTTTCTGTTCGTATTCAGTTGGAAATTATGCTCTATTTGGCTCATATGTGCACCAGCAATTTAATTAGCAGCAGTGTCTAGTTTTGAGGTCTATATGGATCGAATATGGTTTTTAATGCGTCACTAACAAGTCAATTTTCCTTTTTCACTAAAAGATTCACTAAAAGCTATATTTTCGAATCCATTTTCAAGAAGTAAGCGTCACCGAACATATCGGCATCGCCACTGAATATACGGGCGGTTTCAATGCCCAGGCGTTATCCAGAAATAAACGAACGATGACTTACCTTGTGATGCTCGGGCTTTCCTGAGCGAGTTTGAGGACAAGCCTTCGCCTGCTGCACGACGGCGCCGGGAGACGATCAAAAACACTGACCAAAACTCGAATACAAAGTGGACGCGCTGGGAATCATCTCTTTTTATTTTCTGTTTAGAAGGTCACTCAGTCGTAATCTGACTGATTAAAAGACGGAAATTCCGTGAGACGCATATGGCACAGACTGAACACCAAAAAGACAATGAACAAATACAGGCATAGCTATTATTTTCGATTCATACGACAATGAAGAAAATTTAGTACGATGCCTACGCAAAGATGGATGGTGTCGTAATTTATTTCATTATGCAACGGGGTCTCAGTGATCGTAAAAACTTCTCGAGACGATTGTGTTTCGGAGGCTGAGCTAAAAGCAGTTTGACTATGAATAGTTTCAATGGCGTTGAACAAATTTCAAATTTACTTTATTCATTATAGAGTTGAATGCCCCCGTAGCTGCGTCATGCGACGTCAAACGCTTCTTCCTCCAAGCGGTTTGAACAACGGAAATGACGCAAGTTTTTTGTTTGTCAGCTCGTTAGCTTCTCTTCGGGCCGTTCACTTGTTGTCGATTTTGGAGATCGGCATCTAGGACGAGTTTATCGGCTCTGAGCCATCTCAGCTTCGGAACATCACCCAGTCGGAAGCGTTTACAAACTAGAGGAGAAATTGAAGAAGCAATTGGCGGTTCCGCCTGTATTACTGATGCCAGAATAAGATAAGAATAAGTAACTGCCATCTATTGTTTGTGGTTTCGATTTTGTAGACGCGTATCCCAATCGGGTCGATATAATCTGATTAATATTTCCATGTATATGAGAAAACTGATAGGTTTGCCACGAACTGGGCTTTCCTGTGTTGTGATTGCCTAATGTTAATTTCACGACACCCGCAAGTAGTCACTATCATAACAAGCATTAGACATACGTGAGTGATAGTAAGGAGAAGCATTATAGTAACACGATGTGCTAGGGAATGATTTAGTACACTGGTTCCAGTTCGATATCGATTGAAGATCGGACCCAAGAAGGCACCATATCTGACGTTGAACTTTTTTGCTTATCGCAACTTGTTTGCTCTTTCTAAGTAAAGTTCTTGATCTGTCTTAAATTTGTATTTCTGAATTGGTGGTACTCTACGTTTAATCTGAACTGAAGATTTTTCACACGTGATGGTCATGTGGGGGCGTCAATTTGGCATAAATGAAGAGCACGTTTAGTTTCTACTTTTACTGTCGATAATACAGAAGAGCAATACGCGCGCCATTTACAGTTGCGGAATGGCCTTTTTTTTACAATCCTATATACAAGCATTATGCCAGTTTAAAAAACTTACTAGTTCAGTAACATGCGTTCGATACGCGAACACCAAAAAGAAGCAGAGCTTAATCGTATTAAAAAACGCATCGAGTTATACAAACTAGGATTTTTGTATAGCCCGATTCTGCCGTTATGGTCACGTTATATGCCGTCACAGATTTTTTAATGAAATATTTTTTAGTGATTCTCTTATCAATTTAAAAAAAACGTGAGTTCTTGCTGAATGGTCAGTTAAATTTCTATTTTATGCCACGCGAGCCGACAAATTAACATTTCCCCGAAGCTAGAACAGAGTTTATCACACTGCGAAGTCGGGTAATTACTGTTCTTTGCAGAGGTGAATGACTTTCGCATTACAGCTTTAGGGGTTGATGGCAGCCATAAACAAGCCAAGTTGGTTGAAACTAAATACCTGAACGGGTTCTCAATCGGTATCGCTAAAACATGCCGCATGGCCCATTAGACGAGTCAATAATTCGAGCGTCGTAACTAATCCACCTCTGAACGCTTTTCCACAGGACACTTACCTGCTATAGCGGGGAATCCCGAGTCCTGTCGTCCTGACATATTCTAGAGCATCTGCATCAACCTGGTAATTAATCTCACACGACTCTTGTTGTCTACTTTTGCTCCGTATCTCTGTATATTGATTTCGCTGATGTGATTGATAAAGAATTAGGCAGCATCGCTAGTGCGAGCTGACAGGTCAGCCTCGGTGCTACCGCTTCCAAGCGCCACATACTTCGACTTGGAAAAATACGATATCAATCCTAGAGACGCTACGGCCAGCGTACCTCCGAAAACTACAAGTTAGATTACAATTTACAAAAGTATAGCTTGTGGAGAGTTTTTTAAACCGTATGGGGTTGATCCAGTGTACAACAGAGTTGGTACAGGAATGGTGAGCAGGGACCTGCCACTTTGCCAGAATTTTGCTTATTTAGCTATGGGAATTGAACGCGTGCGTACCAGAGTGCAATGGGTGCACTAGTGTGATTTACACCATAGCGTCTGTCGTGTGATTAGGTATATAGAATGTAACAGAGTTCATTAGTAGAAGGTGGGAAAAATAAGCAGAAACAATACGTGAAAGAATGATCGTTGTGAAGAAGTCGCATGGGTTTCGGTTGCTTGCTAGCGTTCTATGAAGAAGTGGCTCAGGGCTCGATATCCGAAGGTCACCCTCAGCGTGTTCCCATAGAATCCTGTCGGACCGGTCGTTTTTCATAATTTAAGACTTGGCTGGCTAATGGCAAAGTAATAAAGCATCCACAGCTTCCACCCAATCTACGGCTACGAACGTAATGAGGCTCCAGCGGGAGGTCGAGGTCTTTAAACCGTAGCAGTAATATGTATATGAGATTATGGACAAACGCTGTGATCAACATTTTTTTTTTTCGATCGTTTATCTTGTGTTTTATTTACCGGTTTTACCTAATGAACGGCACATATGCGTCAACTAATAAATATCCAGTCGTCATTACTCCGTCTTTATATCATATAAAAGTGTATTGCACGGTAAACGCACGGCAACCTGTTGGCTCATTACGGGATAGCTAATGAAATACATTTAACATGGTGCTGGCTTGATTTATGGGCACCATTAATATCACGACAGCCAGCGGCATGTATAACAGCTCGCTCGATTTCGAAATTCAACATGGTTTGCTTGCCTTAAATTCGGCAATTGGATCTGGCCAGACAACAGTGGCTGAATTCAAATGTTAGGGCCATATTATTACTATTTATTTGGTAGATAATAGCTTAAGGAACGACATTATTTTATAACAATCCGAGATTTAATTTAATAACAGAACCTTACGAGCTTTTCAACATTAGGTCGAGCCCGAAATCGGCCATCTTCCAGTTTTGATGGTCGTCGGCAAATAAATCGCTACGATAGAATGAGATTAGTGAACATAATAACTTTATCTGGCCCACCATTTCAACATCATTTAGATTTGTTCCGGTCTAGTTCAGCCAACTGCCAACAGGGCTGTCAGTCCGTTATCACGCTGCTTGCGACGCTACTAACACGTTCTACATAATGAAAACAGACTAATTAATAACATTAAAGTTGCCAGCCTCTCAATAAAAATGAGGCCGCAAGCTATGCAATACCTCCAAACTCTGTCGCCCAGCGGAAATAATCTGTGAAATCGACAATTTAGCTCAAGCGTTGCGTTGAGCGACACTTTTTGCTGGTCTGCGGCAGTCGCGCTAACATGGACAAGTCGCATTTTTACAGTAAGATATAACATTTTCGTGTGTTCGTTCTTTTGCCAATTGTTTTCTATCTTATTGACCCTGAACGACGGTCGCAGACGACGGTTTACAATACGAGTATGTTTTCTTAGAATCCTGTCAAGTGTTGTAGAGAAGTAAGCAAATAAGATAAATAATATCGTATATAGCAGATTGCGCTTGAATTTCGGCACAAACCATCGTTTTTTCCACCATGTTTACCGAGCTCATTTCGTTGAAGGCCATCATCGAGCCGGGCACGAATTCTCGGACGTTTTGAAAAAACATTGTTCAATATACTTTTCCTAGAAGGATTGCCGTCTTTCTTGATGCGTGTAGGTGTGATTTTCTTATGTAGGTACGGCCTCAGACCCGGACGCATCCACATACATATACCTGCATTTATATGTGTATATAGAGAATCTATGTATTCAAGAGATGATTGTTCGCTCCATCCAAGCACCTCTGAGCGGATCTGCAATGTCGTCACAGCCAGTGACTCCCCTCAATTATGCAGGCTGAT